TGAGCAGGGAGCCCGATGCGGGGCTCGATCCCAGGACCCTGGGATCATGACCTGAGCCGAAGGCAGACGCCCAACTGACTGAGCCACCCAGGCGCCCCTTAACAATTTTTTTAAAATGGATTTTAGGTTTTTGGGTTTTTTTTTAAAAAGTATTTTATTTATTTATTTGAGAGAGAGCACAGAGGGAGAGTGAGAGGGAGAAGCAGACTCCCCACTGGGTAGGGAGCCCAATGTGGGCCGAATCCCGGGACCTTGAGACCACGACCCGAGCCGAAGGCAGACGCCTAACTGAGCCACCCAGGCGCCCCTTAACAATTCTACAATATAGGTGTGCCTGGGTGGCTCAGTCAGTTAAGTGTGTGCCTTCAGCTCAGGTCATGATCCCAGGGTCCTGGGATTGAGCCCCAGGTTGGGCTCCCTGCTTAGCGGGAAGCCTGCTTCTTTCCCTCCCTCTGCTTATGCTCTCTCTCTGTCAGATAAAAAAAAAAAAAATCTGTAATATAGCATTAATGGTATTATCTTACTTCAGGAATGATACATATGTCTAAACATAGGGCCACACAGGATACATCCCAAACGAAAGTACAAAAGCATCCCTTGTCCACTTTCTTGGCAGTTGCTAGACCCAGGTCCTTAAAGGAAGCCAAAACCCTTAGGTAGAGCAGTCCTCTTCAGTAGTCTTCCATGATCTCATATCAGCCAACTTTTCCAAGAGTATTTCAGCTGAGGAAGATAGCATTTTCCTTTGAATTAAGTATAGTCCTGAGAATTAAATGTCCAGAGATACTCATGTGAGCCCATATACATTTCTGTGTCCTCTGCTTGAAGGCTCACATATAAAGTCATGCATCTCAAACAAACAAACAAACAAACAAACACACAAAGTTACACGTCTCAAAAGATGGTGTAAATTGCCTAGTAAGTATATTAAATTGAGAAAAAAGGTTGGAAATGAATATTTTGATCACTACTAAATCTTTGCTGAATAAATGGATGAAACTGCTACATTCCAATACACATACATCTTTCTTCTCAATAGCTCCCACTTCTCATATTCACCCATTCCTTTCCATTACTATCCATAACCAGCTTCTGAGTTAATTAAAGGCCCTATCACCAAACACGGCTGAAATAAGCTACTAACTGGGGTCCTTTGCAGGCTCCACTGGTAGAGCGTGTGACCCTTTAATAGTTTTTTTTTTTTTTAAGATTTTATTTATTTATTTGACAGAGAGAGAGAGATCACAAGTAGGCAGGCAAGCAGGCAGAGGGAGAGGGAGAAGCAGGCTCCCCGCTGAGCATGGATCCCCATGCAGGAAGGCGGAAGCTCTATCCCAGGACACTGGGATCATGACCTGAGCCGAAGGCAGACGCTTAACCGACTGAGCCACCCAGGCACCCCAAGGGGTTTTGGGTTCAAGCCCCACCTTGGGCATAGAGTCTACTTTAAAAAAAAAAGGCTACTATTTTCCCTGTCTCTAAACTCTCCTTCCTCCCCATCTCAATCCAAGTAGAACACTAGATTAATCTTTAAAGAGCTGCCTATTCACAAACCCTAAAGTGTTCCCTGCTGTATTCTGAATAAATTTTAACTTCTTTACTAAGGTAACATGTACCTTTTTCCATCCGGCCTCACATATGGAAACATAAATGACCTCCTAAATTCTCTAATGTAATTCTCTTTGTTCTAGCAAACCAATCTGGATTGGCAGGATATACATCATGATTTCCTAACTCTAGATCTTTTCTTTTTATCATGTCCTCAGCCTGGAATTTTCTCCTATAGCTTCATCTGTTGAAGCCATAGCTGTCATTTCAATCCTGAACCTTTTTTATTTTAAGTAAGCTCCGTCCCTTGATCCCAGGACCCGGCTGGGGAGGCAGATGCTCAACCGACTGAGTCTCCCAGGTGTCCCCAAATAAAATCTTAACAACAACAAAAAAGATATCTGCACCATCAGTCCTCCTCTTTTTCTTTTTTAAATAAATGTGGTTTTTAAAAAAAATTGAGAGAGGGGCAGGTGGCGGAGAGTGGGGGGAGGCAGAGAGAGAGGGGAGGGGAGAAGCAGACACCCTGTTGAACAGGGACCCAGCCATGTGGCTAGACACCAGGACCCTGGCCTCATGACCTGAGCCTAAGGCAGATGCTTAACCAATTGAGCTACCCAGGAGCCCCAGTCCTCCTTCTCTTTCAAAGGAGGGCACCTCCAGGTACACACCTATAGACTGTAAACCAATGTAATAGCTGTATCTTTTTTTTTTTTTTTTTAAGATTTTATTTATTTGACACAGAGAGAGACAGCGAGAGAAGGAACACAAGCAGGGGGAGCGGGAGAGGGAGAAGCAGGCTTCCCGCAGAGCAGGGATCCCCACGCAGGGCTGGATCCCAGTGCCCTGGGATCACGACCTGAGCTGAAGGCAGAAACTTAACGACTGAGCCACCCAGGCGCCGCCTAATAGCTGTATCTTTATAAATGAATGCATGAAAACATAAAACGGCAACACCTACAGCAGAAAAGGTATGTTAGTATCTAACTGTCAAAAGGAATTAGTTGCCCTTCATTTTAAAAATCTGTACCACTGGGGCACCTGACTGGCTCAGTCAGTGGAGCATACAACTCTTGATCTCCATGTGGTGAGTTCAAGCCCCATATGGGGTGTAGAGATTACTTAAAAATAAAATCTTTTAAAAATAAATAAAAATCTGTACTACACTTGCTGCTCTATTAGTGCTGTCTTAACACCTTGGGTCAACTCCTTACATCAACAAGGCCGCGTGCGCCTCTTTAAGCAACATGGCTGTTCTGCCAGGCACTAATATGGAAACCACAGCTTCACGGCGCCCGGAAGACCGGGGGAGCTCCTATTAAAAATATTTCCGCCATCCTGCCAACACCTAAGGTGGCTCTCATTTGAGCTTCAAAGCGAGCGGGAAACGGAAAATGACTTCCCGGCTAGCGCATTACCCGGAACTCTTTCCAGTTAGCCTGGGGGTGTCCGCGGGAGAATTGGAGATTTCCTGCGGCTGGGGCTGGGAGGTGCTAGTCCACCGCGCCTGATTCGAGACGTGTCCCGGCTGAGGGACTAGGATGTCGGACACGTGGAGTTCTATCCAGGCCCACAAAAAGCAGCTGGACTCGCTGCGAGAGAGGCTGCAGCGGAGGCGGAAGCAGGACTCGGGGCACTTGGGTGAGGCGCGGGGCTGTCCGGGCCGAGGTTTAGCCAGGGAGGGCGGGAGGGAACCCTGGAGAAAAAGAGCTTCCAAGCCAGCACCCTTTCCCAAGCGGCCATTTCTTTAATACCTGGTACATCAGTACTCTCCTCTTCACCCTCAGCACACAGACGTTTCGTCCTCCTGTGCGTAGTCGCAGTTCCGTTCCACCCCGGGCCTTGGTTCACTCCTCCAGTTCACTTTCTTGGGACAGAAGCCTGGTCCCCACCACCCCACCCCACCCTCGTCCGCTTGGCAGACTCCTCTTAAGTCTGCGGGAACGTTGCCTTTGCTAGGCCTCTCAGCCCCCCCATCCCTTGAAACAGTTAAGCCCCCCCCTTTTTTTTTGCTCCTATGGCGCTTTGTTCTTCCGTTATAGCGACTGCTTTGTAGTGGTCGTTTCTTTGCCACTGTAGCCACCATGAGAACACGGACCGAAACTTTATATCCACAGTGACCAGCTCAGGGACCCTCACAGAGTTGCTAAATGAGTAGAAGAAATGGTATTGTCTTAGCCATCTGCGTTCCAAGCAGAAACCTGAAAATATTTGTTTTATGTTTTTAAACTTTTTCTCCCCTCCGTTGCCCCTGTGTCACAAAACTTGAAGGAACCTCAAATGATTGTCCAATTTTATCTACCCCTATCCCCAGCACAAGCCCTGGGTTATTTAAGGCAAATCAGTTACAAAGATCTACAAGGATAGTGAATCCATACCATCCTTGTGGTAGTTTGTTCCAATGTTTATTAGTATACTAGAGTCCATCTCTAAATCTTGTCTTGGTACATATCAGGTCCATGTGCTCATGTTCTGGCCCCTGGAACCTAGAAGATGTTCTGTCAGGACTTTGACACCATAATAAACAAACATCTGTTAAGTATTTACAGTGTGCCTAACAAAAAATGGACAAAGATAAGTAACATATTGTCTCTGCTCTCAGGGAGTTTAAAATTTAGGGGGGATAAAGGATTGATGCTTATAAAAAAAATTCAGATGCTTATAAAAAATCCAGAACTATGATATGATATATGTAAAATGCTGAATGAATGAATCCAAAATAAGTATAGACAGGGAAGGGAAAAGTAACAAGAGTTGGCTTTATTTGCAAAGGCAACATGAGTTAGTTAGCACTTGTGATTTGATCTTGATGGCTACATAGGACTTAGATAATTAAAGAGAAGTTAGGAGGGCAGGGCAACTAGAGGAAGAAGAAGTACAAGTCCTATGATCGGAGTTCAATTAGTAGTCGATTTTAAGTTCCATTTCACTTTTCCATGGTAATAACCACACTTTGGTATTAACCAAACTTCATGCCATGTGCAAACCTAACTATTAGAGTGTCGATACTTCAGTTTCTTGCTAAGCATGTTTAATAATTCTGACAACAAGATTGTATTCTCCCTTGAATGTAAATATTCTTTTTTTTTCTTTTTTTGGATATAAATATCTCTTGACTTAATCTCTTGACCCACTTAATATATGGTTAGGATTCCTAGTACATCTGCCTAAAGAATATGGTTAAGACTTACATAAAAATATTTTTAAGGTTGTGCTTAAACATGTATTGTCTTCTGGCCCAGAGCTTTGGCTCGCCCATCTGGTACTGTGGGAGTAGATAGAGATAAAACACAAAATAAACCAGCCTATCACTGTTCTTTCTTTGAATTATTTTGGTTATTCCAAAGAACCTATTTCTTTGAGCATTAGGATTCTTAGGAAAACATGAGACATACTCTATTAGTTTATTAATCAAGTTTCCATGTAAGAATAACCAAAGGCTTGCTGATAATTTAGATCATTCCATTCTTTTCTCACAGGAAATAAAAATTTTCTTACTACCTCTTGGTTTTTATAGCATTACTGAAATCTGATACTTAATTGTTTACTACAAAGCTCAGTGAGAAAAGACAAGGATATTAAGTGAACTAAAATGTATCCATATCATTAATGAATGCAAATACCATGGACAAAGAAACATTGGGAGACTTTCCTTAGTTTGGCATTTTTAAAGTACATTTTTTTTTTTTCCAATAGGTTTATGGCCTTCATGGTAGTGATGGTTTCATGGTGTGTAACCTTATTTCCAAACTCATCAAGTTATATCTGTTAAGTATATTCAGCTCTTTACATTCAGTCATACCTTAAAGTGGTTTGTTTGTTTGTTTATTTAATTAATTTATTTATTTTCCCTTAAGGTGGTTTAAAAAAAAAAGGTGTAGAGGTATTATCTATAGGGAGCATAGGCCTTTTAAAATTTTTATTTAGATATTTTTTATTATTACTTTTTTAGGTCTTTATTTTTTTAAAGATGTATTTAGAGAGAGGGCCTGCCAACGAGTGGGGGGAGAGGCAAAGGGAGAGAATCTTCTAGCAGACTCCCCGCTGAGCACGTGGCCTGATGTGGGGCTTGATCTGATGACCCATGAGATCATGACCTGAGCCAAAACCAAGGGTTGGATGCTTTATCTACTGAACCACCCTGGTGCCATAGCCGTTTTTTAATAAACAAAATAAAGCTCATATTAATGGCAGCAGGATATGTAAGGTACCTGGCACAAAGTTTGAACATGAATTAAGGGGGAGGGGTAATGGATAATTTATGGCTTACCTAAAATATTAAAAATTTCAGAGCTGCATAACAAAGGACCTGTATCCTGGGTATTGACTTAAAACTTACCCACATCTTCCTTTAGCCCCATTTTCTGTTAACAGTGTCTTTGGTTTAGTAGCTAATATGATTTACTCCCTTTGGCATACTGTAGGAGTTAAAGATATATAATGAGTTATATCAGTATATAATGTATAAAACAAATAAATATATGTATAATGAGTTATATCAGTGTATAATAATGAGCTACATCAGTATATAATATATAGAACAATTTGTGGGGGGTGCCTGGGCGGCTCAGTTGTTAGGCGTCTGCCTTCGGTTTAGGTCATGATCCCAGGGTTCTGGGATCGAGCCCCATATCGGGCTCCCTGCTCAGCTGGAAGCCTCCTTCTCCTTCTCCCTCTCCCTCTGCAGCTCCCCCTGCTTGTGCTCGCTCTCTCTGTCAAATAAATAAATTTAAAAAAAAACAATTTGTGGGTGTAATGCCTGAAATCCTAATTTTAAAGATTTTATTTATTTATTTATTTGCGAGAGAGAGAGCATGTGCGCAGGTGCATGAGAGCATGAGTGGGGAGGGGCAGACGGAGAGGGAGAAGCACTCCCTGCTGATCAGGGAGACTGAGGTGGGGCTCCATCCCAGGACCCTGAGATCATGACCTGAGCCGAAGGCAGATGCTTAACTGACTGAGCCACCCAGGCCCCCCTGAAATCCTGAAATCCTAATCTTTTTTTTTTTTTTTTAAGATTTCATTTATTTATTTGTCAGAGAAAGAGAGCACTTGCACGCACACAAGCGGGGGCGGGGGGGGAGCACAAGCAGGGGGAGACGCAGGCAGAGGGAGAAGCAGGCTTCCCACCGAGCAAGGAGCCTGATGCAGGACTCAATCTCAGGACCCTGGGATCATGACCAGAGCCAAAGGCAGGCACTTAACCGACTAAGCCACCCAGGCATCCCTGAAATCCTAATTTTATTTTATTTTTTTAAAAGATATTTATTTATTTGAGAGAGAGACAGGGATAGCGACAGAAATAGCACAAGCAGGAGAGGGAGAAGCAGGCTCTCCACTGAGCAGGGAGCTCAACGTGGGGCTTGATCCCAGGACCCTGAGATCATGGCCTGATCCGAAGGCAGGCTCTTAACCAACAGAGCCACCAGGCGCCCTTGAAATCCTAATTTTAGAATACCTTGTTTCTTCTGCCTTAAAAATGATACTTATTATTGACTGTGCTTCAGTTGCTTAATGAAAGAAGTTTTTGGTTACTTCAAAATATTTTAAAACTTGACTGATTTAAAAAAAAAAAGTTGAGTTTTCTCTCATTGTAAATTGTAATTGGGGTATTTTAGCTCAAGTTTATTAGACTCCTAGAATCTCTGAGTTGCAAGGACTTCAGTAGTCATCATTCAATCCTGGTCAGTGCAGAAATTTTGCCTGTAGTCTTCCAAGTAAGCTAAATAATACCTGTCACTTATATTTCTTACATATTTTTAGCTTGGGTCCGTTGCTCTTGAATTCTTTTTCGTCTCGACCTTGAAAGTGCTTCAGGGATCTCCATGTATACAGTACCTCTTTGCCAAACAAAACAAGGAACTTGTATGAGTTCATCTGGCAAATGTTCTACTCTAAGATTCAGCAGAACATAAAGGAATCATAAGCAAAGTGAACAAAGTTGTCAGTTATTTTTTTTTTTAAAGATTTTATTTATTTATTTGACAGAGAGAGACACAGTGAGAGAGGGAACACAAGCAGAGGGAGTGGGAGAGGGAGAAGCAGGCTTCCCACTGAGCAGGGAGCCCGATGCGGGGCTCGATCCCAGGACCCTGGGATCATGACCTGAGCCGAAGGCAGACGCTTAACGACTGAGCCACCCAGGCACCCCAGTTCTGTCAGTTATTTAACATTTCCAGCTAGTATGGTATTGTGGAGTCTGTTTTCCAAATAGGGTGTAACTTATTTTCATAAAATGTAACTGTTCCAGCAAGGTGTTTGATATAGTTCAGCTCCGTTTTCCTTGGAATTTGTGAGTCAAATTTTACTAAAGTCAATTCCATTAGAGTAAAAATGTTTAAGTAACCAAAATATTTCTAAATGTAAACTAATGACCCGCTCATATCTTAAAATATTTAACAGAATTCTGATACAAGTCCTGAGTTAAATATTTCATTTTTTTTTTAAAGATTTTTTTATTTATTTATTTGACACAGAGAGAGAGACAGGGAGAGAGGGAACACAAGCAGGGGGAGTGGGAGAGGGAGAAGCAGGCTTCCCGCTGAGCAGAGAGCCCTATGCGGGGCTCGATCCCAGGACCCTGGGATCATGACCTGAGCCGAAGGCAGACGCTTAACGACTGAGCCACCCAGGTGCCCCTGTATTTTATTTTTTTAAGATTTTATTTATTTGTGAGAGAGAGCGAGTGAGAGAGAGCACAAGTGGGGGTAGGAGCAGAGGAAGAAGCAGACTCCCCACTAAGCAGGGAGCCAGACGAGGGGCTCAGTCCCAGGACCCTGGGACCATGACACGAGCCGAAGGCAGACGCTTAACTGACTGAGCTACCCAGGTGCCCTTCTGCAGAATTTTATAAAATTTTTGTGTTTTGAGTGTTAGAGGTCACATTCTAGGGACACCTGGCTGGCTCAGGCAATAGAGCGCACAACTCTTGATCTTGGGCTTGTAAGTTTGAGCCCTATGTTGGGTGTAGAGATTACTTAAAAACAAAATCTTTAAAAATAAAGAAAAAGGTCCTATTCTAATCCTCAATACTGTCATTTTACATATCCTCTGATGTCCAGTGGCCTTGATTCTTTAAAATTCAAACTCCATTCCTCAGAAGAGCTGATCACAGCTTAGGTTGTTGAAAATATCTCTGGCTTTAAAATTTGGGTTGATTATTATTTAAAAGATTTTTTTTAAAGGTTTATTTATTTATTAGAGAGAGAGCACGTATGTGCAAGCAAGCTGGGGGAGGGGCAGAGGGAGAGAGAAACTCTTTAGCAGATTCCCCGCTGAGCTCGGAGCCCACCATGGGGCTCAAACTCAGGATCTTGAGATCATGACCTGAGGTGAAATGAAGAGTTGGGATGAATAACCACCCAGGTGCCCCTAAATTTGGGTTGATTATTTCGGTTGTCATTTAGAGTGACTGAAGGGAGGTGGTATGGACATTTAAATCTACCATGCTGCTAATTTCCTTTGAACCACAGCAGGGACTGGAATTAGGAAAATACCTCTTACTCAGTAGAGAAAAGGTAAGTGGTTCCCAGAAAATCCAGGATTATCTTGGCAAAGCAGTGAATGCTTGAGTATGATTGAGGAAAGGTGATCTAGTGCTAAATTTGGTCAGAGAATTCTCTGCATGAAATGAAAGTACATGCTGTGAATGTTGGAGAATTTGACTCCTGAGGAGTGTCTAGACAGACCTACAGTGGTTGCCCTTTATCATTTTCTTCACTTTTCTTCACTCCTAGATCTACGAAATCCAGAGGCAGCACTGTCTCCCACCTTCCGCAGTGACAGCCCAGTGCCTACTGCACCCACTTCTGGTGGCCCTAAGCCCAGCACAGCTTCAGCAGTTCCTGAACTAGCTACAGACCCCGAGTTAGAGAAGAAATTGTTACACCACCTCTCTGATCTGGCCTTAACATTGCCCACTGATGCTGTGTCCATCCGTCTTGCCATCTCCACGGTAATGATCTGATAAGACAGGGTTGGGATATACCACTTCTTTGCTTCAGTTCATGGTCAGTGTCTTATTGCCTTTCCCTCCCCTCCTTCCCTAGCCAGATGCCCCTGCCACTCAAGATGGGGTAGAAAGCCTCCTACAGAAGTTTGCAGCTCAGGAGTTGATTGAGGTAAAACGAGGTCTCTTACAAGATGACGCACATCCCACTCTTGTGACTTATGCTGATCATTCCAAGCTCTCTGCTATGATGGGTGCTGTGGCAGAAAAGAAGGGCCCTGGGGAGGTAACAGGGACTATCACAGGGCAGAAGCGGCGTGCAGAGCAGGACTCAACCACAGTAGCTGCCTTTGCTAGCTCTTTGGCCTCTGGCCTGGCCTCTACAGCATCAGAAGCAGCCAAGGAGCCAACCAAGAAATCAAGGAAACATGCTGCCTCAGATGTTGATCTGGAGATAGAGAGCCTTCTGAACCAACAGTCTACTAAGGAACAACAGAGTAAGAAGGTAGGGGTAGATGGAAATGCTTTCACACATATACTTTGTTTCTTTGG